CGAGCCAAGGATCCACAGGCCGAGGCAGTATGGCATGAAGCTTGGGTGTACTGACCTGGTTTCCGACAGCCAGGTCTGGGTGATTCCATGACCCTGAGCATCTTTTTTCATCATCTGCTTTTTTTTTTTTTTTTTTTTTTGACAGTGCTAGGGATGGAACCCAGGGCCTCATGTGTGCTACCCAAGTTGTCTACCACTGAGCTACAAACCCAGCCCCATGGCTGCCGATTTTCTTAATCCTTATAACCTAAACTGTTGGGTAGGCTGTTTTGTTATCTTATTTTACCAAATAGGAATTTGATGCTCAGAGAGGTTAAGGGAACTATCAGAGTCATACAGTCTGAAAAATTCAAGAAGAGATATGAACATTGAGAGTCTACCTCCTGCCCATACCTTTCAACAACGTTGAAGCTCAGATCAAGATCCTGATCATTAGAGCCAGCGGATCACCATGGTGGGATGAGGAGCAGGATGGAGAAACTTGGTGTCTCCTCCCACTGGCCTCTGGGGGACCTGTCAATTCTTGCCCAGAAAGAAAAAGAAGCTACCCCCTAAAGGAGCCATGGAGGTTAAACTGTCCTGACAAAAGACCCAGTTTGCCGAGGGAGTTTTGTCTTCCCAGGTAATGGAATTGTTTTTAATGGCAAGAATGAGCTCATTACAGATGCAGCTTGTGCTAATAATGATAATTTGCTGAGCATTAAAATCACCTCTCTGCATCTCCCCCGGCCGACAGTTGATGCTCTAGAAATTATAGGCTAGGGAGAAACAGAAAGGAGAAAGTCTAAGGGAAAAAATTGCAATGGAGAGCTACTTCAACAAAAGGACTCTCAGTTCTGCACACTGAACTTGGAGATCTGAATCGCGAACTTGTGGAAGGGAGACGTGCAGAATTTTTGAATTGCCTTTATTCACTTTTGCTACCTCTGTCACTGGGTGGTTTGGGGTTCTGTTTTGGTTTTATAGCTAAAGCCATTTTTTAAAAGTTGTGTCAAATGAATTCGTCACTTAAATATTGGTATGTAATACGATCCATGGATGAGAAAACTTGGGACAGTTTAAGAGCCACATCAGCCCTGCCACCTCCTTACTTTCCTTGAAAATACTGCAACAGACTTGACCCCCAAGTGGCCATCTACAAACTGGGTTTGGGAAAAGGGGACAGACAGACATGCCTCCCATGTGGCTCATTTCTGAGGTGGGCAGAGATGCAGCCTGCATAGGAAGGGATCTGTCTCCTGGTGTCCTCTCTGGGGCTTTGAGGTCCCTCCTTCAGGGTTTAGGAAAACTGGGAAAAATCTCAACTATGACATAGATTTGCCCCTGCCCTTTGAAGAAAGTGCTAGCTGTCTTCTATTAAAATGTGATTTTTAAAATTTAATTTCCAAAGTATTTAAGTATCTTTTTCAACAGTTCAAATAAGGATTTTAAAGATGATATTATTTCTTAGTTATGAATGCAATATCTGGAGGCTGTGGAAAATCAGAGAAAACACAAAGAAGAAAATAAAAGCAAACAGTAGCACCATCTACTAAATGACCATTGTGAATATTATGGGTTAGCTCCCCCCTTTATTAAATAAAAGACATGGTGTGTGTGTGTGTGTGTGTGTGTGTGTGTGTGTGTGTGTGAGACGTAGGTTCACAGCTACTGCACATCTTAGGACCTTCCTTTTTCAAGAGCTGTATCGTATATTTCCACAACAGTATTTTCCCTTCACATCATCTTTGACATAATAGCTCCTACTGCATCCCAAGCCCATAGGGATGGGGGTGGTGGTTATGTTTTGTGAGACCATTACTGTTTACAACACCCTTAGGCACTTCTTTGTTCAAGACTGTTCAGTTCTGAGACCCTGTGGCCATCTGATGAACCTGTGGACCTGAAATATGTAAGATTACAAAGGAAATATCACCAAAATATTCAAGAGAGCAAATCTAGGTGAAATAGCCACATGTCTTTTTTTAATTTTTAATTTGTTTTAATTAGTTATAATTGACAGTAGAATGCATTTATGCACTTTGATACATCATACATAGATGGGCTATAATCCCTCATTTTTCTGAGTGTACATGTTGCAGAATCACTATATATTAATAATGTTATGTATATACATAAAGTAATAATGTCTGTTTCATTCTACTATTCTTTTCTCCACATCCCCTCCCCTCCCCTCCTTTCACTTCCCTCTACCTAAACTAAGGTAACCCTATTCTTCTCTAGTGCCCTCCTATTGTGAATTACCATCCACATATTAGAGAAAACATTGGGCCTCTGGGTTTTTTTTGGCTTATTTCACTTAACATGATATTTTCCAACTCCATCCATTTACCAGCAAATGCCTTAATTTCATTCTTCTTTAAAGTTGAGTAATATTCCACTGAATATATATGCCACATTTTCTTTATCCATTCATCTATTGAAGGACTCCGAGGTTGGTTCCATAGTTTAACTATTTCGAATTGAGCTGTTATAAACATTGATGTGGCTGAGTCACTGAGTATGCTGATTTTAAGTCCTTTGGGTATAAACCGCTGAGTGGGATAGTTGGGTCAAATGGTGGTTCCATACTGCTTTCCCTAATGGTCGTACCAATTTGCAATCCCATCAGCAATGTATGAATGTACGTTTTCCCCCACATCTTCACCAACATTTATTGTTGCCTGCATTCTTGATGACTGCCATTCTCACTGGAGTGAGATGAAATCTTAGTGTCCTTTTGATTTTCTTCACTGCATGTTAACATGAGAGTAGATTCCGAGGCTCTAGTAACTAATCGTGGAGCAAGGGGAGCATTAGCATGACTTCTAGCTGTTTACCACACCTTCGTATGGTACCAACAAAGGTCCACGATTTCTATGGGGCTGAGGTGACAGAGTACCTGGCTGTGGTGTGTCCTTTACCTTCACAAATGAAGGAAACACTTGGAGGTCTGTAAAACGAAGAGAGAACTTTTTCTTATCAAGATTTTTCCATCCTCTTGACCTCTATCCATGGAAGCTCAGAGCCCAGGGAGCCCTGGCAAAAACTCTTGCCTTGGGGAGCAGTTCCAGGAGCAGCTTGCTTGCTGCATCTCCGGCTCTGAGCATTTTTAAAATATTTATTTTAAGATGTCAATGACCTTTATTTATTTATTTATATGCAGTGCTGAGAATCAAACCCAGTGCCTCACACATGCTAGGCGAGTGCACCACCACGGAGCACAACCCCAGCCCCATTTTTTAGCTTTTTGATGCTGATGGCCTCCTTAGACCCACAGCTGCTTCAGATTTCAGGGAACTGAAGGCTGCCAAGTGGAGTCAGGGAGAGACCTGTCAGTGACAGGCAGCAGTGACCAGTGCTATGGGTTGAACTCTGTTCCTCAAAAGAAGGAAGTCTTCTTGAAGTCTTGGTCCCAGTACCTCGGAATGTGACTGGTTTACAAATAAAGTCATTGCAGGTGAAATTAGTTTAGGTGAAGACAGACTGGAGAAGGGATCTCCTAATCCCATGTGACCTTCTAAGAAGTGGCCACATGACAACACAGACACACCCAAAGAGAACACCCTGTACGGGAGGGCTGAGATGGGAGTCACATGGCATGCGCTGCCACCACCCCCCAGAGGAGGAAGAGGCAAGGACCGACTTCCCTTCCAGTGTCAGAGGTAGAGGGGGCCCTGCTAACAGTCTGGATTTGGAAATTCTGGCCTCCACAACTGTGAGGCAATAAAGCTACCAGTTGGCTCTACTTTTCTTAGGACAGTCCTGGAAAACTGATGTAGCTGTATCTGCCAGTTGGGGCCTCAAGGGGACTAGGATTCTAAGAAAGCAGGGTTGGCTGCAGGCCAGAGTTGGGGATATACCACACCAGGACCCAGCATGGCTGACGTGGTAACAGCGCTGGACTGAGGCTTCAAAGTAGAGCCTGGCCCAGCTACACGAGGTTCCCTTAGGGTTTAGGAAGAGAAGGCCCCACCCTGGCCATTCTCAAGGTCAATGCAACCTGAGAAAAACCCACAAAGACCTTTAGCACACTGGGCAGTCTCCTCTTTATTCCCACACAACAACAAGGTTCGTGATTGCTGACAGCCACGCTGCAGCTCAGGGTGCAGGCCCAGGGAACTGTGCTCTTACACTGTCCTATTGCCCACTAGGTGTGGATGAGGCACCGGCCTGTGCAACACTGGCAGGCTTCTGCCACTCCCCTCAGCTCCACCTGTCCCTGGAGGTCTAAGCCACATGCTTCTAGACCTCTGCATTCTTTGGTAAGGGCCGTGGCCCTAGATAAATCTTCGTGTTGCCTGGAGTACTTAGCCTCTGAAGCGAGTCACATGTCACCGGAGCTCTGGGGTCTTGGCTCCAGGGTTTTCCAAAGGTAGGGCAGCTTCCACCTGGAAGAGAAACCCTCCACAGGAGCGGCAGGCAGGCAGCCAGCTCCGCAGACGAACACACCAGTGCCTTCTAGAACACGGTAGGAAGGAAAGAAAGCACCCTCGCTCACCTGCGATGGAGAAGTCTGGGTTTGGGGGTGTCAGCTCTTCGTGCTGCAAAACTTTTGGAGAAGGAGCATCAGTTTGTGTGCGGCTAATTCCACACAGTCTAAAGTAAGAACAAAAGTCACAAAGTTACTCCTTTTAACAATAAAAATAAGAATAACACACACAGGTCCTGGGGGGGAGTCGTGTGTTCATTTCTAATCCTTACAATTTATCCTAACGGTTAGGATTGTTGTCCCCTTTCCAAAAGAGAAAACTGAGGCCACAGGAGCCACCATATGCAGTGCCCATGGCATCACCTCCATCTCCCTCCCTCCATCAGCACCTGGAGTCTCTTAGGTCACTGCTGGACAGATGGCTGCTGGGGAGAGCTGAGCTCAGGTGGGAGTGTGGCTGCCTACCAAGAAGGCCCTACAGACCAACGAGACAACTTCTACACACCCCCCCAGACCCACGGCGGTCCTAGTGCAGGGGGCGCTCTTGTCTCTGGGTCTTGCAGCCAGTGGTTTGACCCCCCCTACACACTTACTCCTCGTATGATTTCAGACGTGCTCTCTTGGCCCGCTCCACAATGTCCTTGAAGTCCTTGTAGCAGTTTCTGGCCATGACAGTGTACCTCGTGGCACAACCTAGTTCAGTGACCTTGGCTCTGGGGAGGTAGCCTGCCCAGCCAGGGATTGGGGGCTCATGGAGAGGTTTCTTCATGTTCTTGCATTCTGTAGAGAGACAGTATTCTTCCTGAAGGCTCAGGGGAGTTCTGCAGAGGACAGTGTTCTCAAGCCAGCTGGCACCCCAACAGTTAGCCCAGGGGAACTCTTGGGCCAGGTATTGTGGGAGGGGCTTTACAAATAGTTTCTCGTTTAATTCTCTCCCAAACCATCCAGGTTAGCACCACTGTTACCTCCAGCATAGGAAGGAGGAGACGGAGGCCTGCAACGAGGTTCAGAGAGACCTGGCCAGAGTCACATAGTCAGGAGGCGTAGGGCAGGACTCAAAGCTGGCTCTATGTTCAAAGTCCTGGCTCTGAGACAGATCTGCTTCCTTCTCAGATTGACGGGGAAGCTTCAGGCACCCCCGTGTGATGCTTTAAATAAGGCAGGGAATTGACAGCAGCACCAGCTTAGGAGGCTGCTTTCAGACTTTACCAAGAACCTGCTTCAGGTCTTGACTGTGATCCTAGCTTGCTGGGTGACCTTGGGTAAATTTACCATCCCCATAGTCTCCAATGAGGCCCCGGAATTGGAGGACATCCCAGGGAGCATCTCGTCGATCCTTCCCTATTTTAAAAGAAGATATTGAAGCCCAGAGAAGGGAAGTAAGTTGTCTTGGGTCACACAGCAAGTAGCCACAGAGGTGGGCTAAATCCCAAACTTAGGCAGAGATTTTTGGTAAGGTTTGGAAGATTTTTAAAGCACAGCAAACGTGTAAATTATCATTTGTTCATTTGTTCTTGAAAAATTTTTGAACAATTATAGCAAAAAGAATAAAAGCAATCAGTTCCTTGCTTTTACTATAGGCTTTTAGGCCTTAAAATAATCTAGGTCAAATCGTTGCTGCGATTCCTGTCATATGATCCCATCACAGTGGTCTCCATTGTTGATGTTGGGTGAGAAACCCCTTCCTCCTGAACTGGCACCCGGAGGAGGAGGAATCAGACCCAGGGCTGACCTCAGCACCCCTGCTATGACCTCAGCCAGTGACCCCAGCCCTGGAAGCCTCCCTTCTCCTGTCTCTTAGATGGGAATGACAGTCGTGACCTCACAAAGTCCTGCGGTTGGGGACCACTGTTCCCAGGACAGAGAAACAACCAGAAGTGTGTTGTGACTGGCCCAGGGCCTCTTAGTGCTCAGGCCAGCACCCTCTGGCCTGACCAGGACTGTGTCCCTCTCCCAGGAAGGGTGTTCTCCCTCGTGTGAAGAGACTGAGCCTGTCCTTTGGAGCCCTGGGGACTTGGGGCTGTGCTGGGTACTGTGCTCTCTGTGGCCTCTGGGATGTGTGCTTGGGGCCAGTCGGAGGGGCAGCTGGTTTGGGGGGCCCATACCCAGACTCAAGGGGTGGTACTTCCGAGTGTACTCGTGCAGAGCCCGCAGGACCGTGTCCTCGGAGCAGACGGGCTTCAGTTTGGGGGCAGCGTCCACTGAACGGTGAAGCGCCTCCTGCCGGTCTATGTATCGCTGCCTTTGCTCCTGGAAGTCTTCCAGGCAGTGGTCCATGTGGTCCTCGCCGGAGGTCCCCTGGCAGCTGAGGTAGGGCACAAAACCTGCAAGAGCCAGGCAAAGGGCAGCCTTGAGCCAGGCCAGCCGGCGGGGATTGCAGAACCTGCCAGGTCGCCCCAGCTCAGCCCACCGCTGGGCAGGTCCCCGCCTACAGCGCTGCGTTTTTCCAAAGGCCATTAATACAAGCAGTGCTCTTGTTTCCACTGAGACGGGCCCTCCCAAGGCCACCCAAAATGACCTTGGAGCTGGGAAGTGAAGGCCCAGTTCAACAAAGGCAATGACAGTCATATTCTTTTATAGCAAAGCCCCTGACGTCAGCCAGAAAGCAAATGCGGAAAGCATTTAATGGTCCAAAATGATAGTCTGAGGAGTAATTGAAATTATTCCTCTTTTTAGAGAGAAAGCTTATTTCCTTGACACTTCCCAAATGCAATTTGGGATCTTTCATGCTGGACCGTAGGGAAATTGCAGGCTTATTAAAAGCATAGACCTATTATACAAAAAGGTAAACTCATTATCTGCAAGACCCACCCCAAGAACAATTTTTCACCGTTGCCCACAAAACAACATATAATCATTACAATGAGTATGGGTAAAACACAAGTATTTATTTAAACTGGATGCTGAATCCCAAGTATTATAATATTGTCACAATAAAACCATTTTTAAAGAGAACAAATGAGAAAAACTGGTTAAGAACTTGGTTTTAAACCACAAAGTAAATAAATAAATATCTCTCAGTATCAGAGCCCAATGTTTTTGCCTTTGTCCCTAGGGAAAGAAATCCTGGCATTGGGGTTGAAAGCAGCCCCTTCCCAACCCTTTCCCCCTACTACAAACCACCTCCAGAAGAATCTCATTAATTGACCTTGATAATGAGAAACTCCTTCACCCACCAACCCTGGGGCAATGAAAAGTACTCCAAGGTCACAGGGAAGATCACAGAAGTCCAGGAGCCTAGCCTTGGTGGCTTGCCTACCTCAGGGACTACCTTGGATCTGCATAGGTTTTACGTGTGTTCACATGCATATGCACACCACCACACCACACACACACACACACACACACACACAGAGGAATATAAGCTATTTTTATTGAGTATAGCTAAGAACTCAGGTATTTAAAAGAGCAAATGTCATGACAACAATCATAGGGTGGTCTCTGCAGTGGTGTGCACTGGACCCCCAAATAGACACATCCAAGTCCTAACCCCTGTGAGCCTCACCTTCCTGGGACATAGGGTCTTTGCAGATGCAATTAGGGATCCAGAAATGAGATCATCATAGATTTAGGATGGACTGTGAATCCAGTGACTGGCATCTTATAAGTGAAAGGAGAGGATAAGGAGACACTAACTTAGAGGCAGAGGAAACATCCACATGAAGAGTCCCTTGAAAATGGAGGCAGAGATCGGAGAGATGCTGCCACAAGCCAGGGGACATCTGTGGCCACCGGAAGCTGGAAGGGGCAAAGGAAGGACCTGCCCCCTAGAGAGAGACATGGCCCTGCCCAAAACACCTTGATTTCAAATTTCTAGCCCGTAGGACCAGGAGAGAATAAGCTGCTGTTGTTTTAAACCATCCAGTTTATGGTAATTTGTGGAAGAAGCCCTATGAAGACATCTATTTTACTTGAATTTTTTTCTTGCTTGGAAGCTAAGTCATTACAGTCACATGGATGGTGTCAAGCAGAGACTTGAACCATCTCTCAGTTTGTCAGCCCCAAAGGCTGGGCAACTGTGGACTGAATGTTCCCTAAGCACCCCTTCCTCCTGAGAACAGCTATGTGTAAAGGCTGAGGGCCCATGGGGACCACTGGGATCGTCACCCATGGGGATGTGACAGATTAAGTTCTCAGGAGCCCAGGAGCCTGAGGAGTAAAAGCCTTTGGGAAGGGTGACCAACTGTCCTAGTTTTCCAAGGACTAAGGGGTTCCTGGACACAGGACTAGCACTACCATGATTCCAAGAAAACCAGGGCAGTTGACTGCTTCCATTTGGGGGACACAGGGAGACATGGAAGGATGAAAGCCCTTGTGGGAGACTAGAAAGACCAGCTTGGGGAAGGTCAGGGCCCCCACTAAGGTATGTGTCTATCCTCACAGCATTGTGTGTCCATCCTGCTCTAAATTTGTTCAATGGACATGAAGTGCTTCCCATATGGGTCATGTCCCACAGGGTGTAGCCTAAGCTCTTTCTCTCCATCCATCAGAGCCATCTGTCAGCCATCTGCAGCCCTGGGCACTCTCAATGGGTCTTACAGCCTGGAGCCAGTCTGCCTGAGAGGCACGGACAGGGGGCCGAGGCAAGAACAAGGACCAGTGCCACAGTTCCCCTGAGTGCTGCCACTTACCACTGTAGCCTGGTGTGACCGGAGGACGTCTAATGAAGGTCTTGGAAGTCTCCATGATTTCACTGTCTGTTCATGAAGGGAAGAAGGAATAAATTGGTCATCCTTAAGTCTCTGCCTCAAGTACCTACTGTGCCTGTGCCAGATCCCTTGGGAGCAAAGAATGGCTTTGCCAGGGGCTGGGACACAGAGGCGGCACCGCCATCTTACTCCAAGCTGGCAGACAGAGCTGGCTTCAGTTACCAACAACGACCTGGTTCCAAGGGGCATCGCTTTTCATGCTACCTTTAGATAACATTGCAAATCACAAGTGTCTCCCTTCCCAAGGAGGCCCCTCCCTCCCCCCGCCCTGTCCGCCCAACAGTCATGAATGATGCACACACTGTGGTCATGAAACGTGACAGAGGTTGGGAATGTAAAGATGAACAGGACTCAGGAGCCCTCATATAGGGCTCATGAACCTCGGGGGAGGAAAGAGACGAGGCACCCACCCTCCAGAGCTAGTTCTTTATGGAGATGGAATATGGGTGCAGTGGTAATGTCTGCCACCACCCCCTTCAGCTCCACACCATTGGGCAATGTCTGGAGACATTTTTTTGTTGCCACAGCTTGGGAGATGGGACACTCCTCATATCTAGTGGCCAGGACGCTGCCAAACATCCTTCAAGAAACAAGAAAGCTCCCTGAAACAATCGCCTGTCAATTATGGCTCATAGAGATCAGAAAGTCCCAAAAGGCTGGCATGGAGTCGAAGGGGAATACAGGGTGGTGGGGGGTTTGTGGCAGTACCAGTTTATGTGCCTGTTGTCTGTGAATCAAGATTTCTTCCCCCCTCCAGGTCGCCAGTGGTTTCCCCCAAAGGCCCAAGGTCTGCATCTCGACGCTGTGGATGCTGCCATGCCCTATTCTGCCCACAGGTTCATCTCTACAGCAATGCCCTTGAGGTCAGGAGAAGGGGCTTTCAGGTGGACAGGGGCCATGATCCTGGGTTCCTCAGCGGTGATGGGAGAGGCAGTAGCGACCCAGCCCCATCAGGTTGACAGCAGTGAAGACCGAGCTGACCCAATCACGGCAGTCTATGCCTGGGAGGAGGGACTGGCTGTGAAGCGATGCCCAGTGCACACTGTCCACCTGCTACCAAAATTTTTCTCCAAGCTTTACATGTGCCGACTCACCAAATCCTCTCCTCAGCCCTGTGACACACATGTGGCCCTCCTATTCTACCCATTTCCAAACGAGGATGGAAAAGGCACGCCCATTTCTAGAACACTGGCTCTGCAGACAAGGTGGAAGGGAGCCGCATTCTTGTTGAATCCCTGCAGTGTCCCTCAGGGTAACACCTATTGGGGTTCCCATGTGAAAGACGATTTTCAAAAGGCACAGAGAGGTCAAGTAACATGTCCGAGGACCCTGGAGTGAAAGCAGACATGAAGGATGAACTCCAAACTCTCAGGGGCAAGACGTGTCGTCCAAAAGTGTTGTGCTTGGATAGGGCCCAGCGTCCAGCCTGCCTGGAGGAGGTGGGCAGTGAGGAGCTTGGAGAGGAGGGGCCCTGAATGAGGGGCAGAGGAGGGGGCTGGAAATGGATGACACCGACACCAACCCTTCCCTGCCACCTCCTTCCCACCCCAACCCCTGCTCTCACCTGGGCGGACTTGGACCTGGGCCATGTACTGGGCCAGGCCTCGGTTGTCCTGGGCCTTGGGCCATCCAGGCCTCTGCCTCATTCTCCAGGCCTCCCGTCCCATCTCCTGGGCTCCCACTGAGGACTCCTGGCCTCCACCAGCCTCTGATCTCCAAGCCTCCCACAGCCTTTGTGAGCTCACACCTGGGCGGGGCAGGGGGTGGAGCCTCAGGCCCCAGAGCCTGCCCCTCCCCCCTCCCCTGGGGATCCACCTCCTCATCCCCCAGCACCAGAGATGAGGTGGGCCCAGTGGACCCATTTAGTCCAGCCTTGAGTATGAAACAGATCTTCACCCAAAAATACCTGCCCTTGGAGCCCTGCACAGAGCCTGGTCCCCCACGGGAGGGTACCGCTCGGGGGTCAGAGCCGCCATTCTGCTGGTGTAGAGACAGTGGGAAGTGGGCGGAGGAACGGGCCCCCTTCACTTGTGGGTAAGGGCCAGTCGTGGCTGTGTGAGGAACCTGTGGGCAGGAGGAAGCCTGAGGAGGAGGCGAGGCCTTGTGACCCCAGTGGCCTAGTAACAGGTGCCTGGCTGGGCTTAGCCCAGCCCTTGCCCACTTCTGTCTCTAGGAGGGGCTGGACTTTTCAGCCGCCCGGTGCAAGGAAAGGAGCAATTTTCCAAAATGAAGGCATGCCTGGGAAGTCGAGTCACCCCTTTCTAGCCACAATTTATGGGAGTGAAGAGAGATGGAACCTTCATCTCATTGGATTGAAATCCACCAAGATGCTGCCCAATGACCCAGACAGGGCCAAAGCCCCACTGCCTAGTGGCACTACTGCTCTCCCAGTACCTGTCTGAAGTTGGTTCGGGACACCTCCCAGCCTTCTCCACCTCACTCTCCTGGAAAGTGAACTTCAGGTGGAGGCAGGTGGAGCCAACCACCAATTTTAACCTTCTTGTGATCCTAGGACCCCCCACCTCTGGCCATCTAGAATCTTCTAGAGGCAACTCAGAGAGTGATCCAGGTGTGGATTCTGGAGGCATCCCAAGGCTCTAGATGAAGCCAGTTTCACCTGCTAGGGTGCCAGTGAGCACGGCACTGTCCCAGGCCTTCTGTGTTCTTTAGTGACTTTCATTTGGGTGCAGTGAAGTTGCCCATGGCCACTCTGCATACGGACCTACTCTCTGGCTAGACTACTTTCTTCCTGTTTGGAAGAAAACAGGGTTCTGTGGACATGAAAGGAGCCTTGGTTCCCAGGAAAGGAAGGGCCAGTCATGTTGGAATGACTGTTAATAAAGCTTATTGCCATCTAGGAAAGACCTGGAAATCATCCTGGAGATGGGGTGGAGAGGGCAACAGTAATGACCCATCTAGAATTCCACATACAAAACCAAAGTGGGGGAAAAAAAATCCTGGGCCATATGAGATCCAGAGTTTTACTTTATTAGACATCAGTGAAGATAAGAGAGTTTGCAGACACAGTCCTGTCCAGTTGTGAACTGCTGCGAAATTCTGTGAAGTTTGGATCTATCTTGTAGTGAACAAGACCCTGAATGGCTGAGATAGTAGAACAGTGTTCCGTAATTCAAGCAGATGAGAGGTGTTAGTGACAGGATGGCCAACAACTTTTATACTAGTCATCCACTTAAGTCATTTCCCAGCATCCATAGGCAGCTTACTCACGGCGATTACATCTCTACAATGTGAAGTTTGATCTTGGACTATTAATGCATTTGACTCCTGTTTATATTGGTGCATGCGATTCTTTGCTACCCTGGCAATTAACCAGACCTGGACTCTAAAAGCTAAACTTGGTCTAAATAACATTCTAAGGGTGGGGCAGGCTCTGTAATCTGGACTCAGCCAACACTCTACAAATATACCCTTGTGATTCCTCCTCTTTCATATCATGTCTGCAAGTTGTCTGTCATTCATTAATGCCTGCTGCATGCAGAAAAGGCAGTGACAAAGGACATCAACAACTCTGCTTCCAAGAAAGGTGACTATCAAATAATATGCCAGGAGCAACTGAGTAATCGGTCAGGACCACAGGCCTTCTAGAAACCTTCTAAGATTAGGAAATGTGTCCAAGTGTACTTATCCAGTGCTGTTACTCTAAAATATTTCAATAGGGGGAAGGGATGGATTTGGGAGTCTTGTCTAAGGAGTTGGATTACTAGGGCTGCATCTCTGGGGCCAGAAGAAAGTCCAGCAAAATTGTCACCCCTTCTCTATCATCAATTTGCCAACACTGTAGATTTCTATCAGTTCATTGAAGAGAACTGGTAGACAAGGAGACATCCTTAATTCAAGGCAGGAAGAGCTCTGCGTTAGCAGCAAACAAGGGACTTGCCTCATCCTTACCCAATAGAAAAGCTTGGTTTATGTACCACTTGGTTCCTGCCTTTGACCCTGGTGTACTGAAAACATCCACACATGGACCACACTTTGTCCTCAGAGTCACTACTTTGCCCCACAAGTACAGGTTGACAACCCAACAGAATGCAAAGAGTTTTCATAGGTTTTTCTGCACAGTCATATTTGGTTACCAAACCAGAATGTTCAGCTCTCAAAGTCTGGACAGGAGAATTGATACATTATGCTCCTTTAAATATAGCTTCTGAATCTTTGGAAAGAATGTGCATGTGGAAGTTGGCGAAAACTGAAGAAGCTGTTGATCCAAGTGGTCCGGGTGTTCAGAGTATTAGCTGATCCTAGGGCACCTCTGCCTAATGCTCAGTCTTGCACACATAATCCATCACTTGGTATCGGCGCAAATCAGTGGTTAGTGAGAGCAATTAAGAAATGAAAATATGAAATATTAAGGGCAGTGATATCAACAAAAATCAAAGAACATTTTCCTTTTTTAAAATAAGAAAAACATATTGTAGAAACAAAGATTCTGTACAAGATTTCAACACTGTATGTACATAAAATTATATTACTCATAACTAAATGGAAGAGTCTTATTTGCAGACTGTGGCTGGTAACACCAAAGAGGGACACACAACATTAAGCTTTTGAAGCAGAGCAGGCAGCAGGAGACCCCGAGAAACACACCTTGGTGCCGGGCTATGAAATCCCACGACTCAAGTTATGGAACTGGCCTTCTCCATCCAGTTCTGTGGCTTATTCGTGTTTCACTTTCTAGCAGGGAAATCTGCAGCAGGCGAAGTGAAAAAGAAGATGGGCTAAAAAGAAACCCGAAGTGCTGCTCACAATCTGCATATTGGCCGTGGTGATGGTTTGTGAATCCAACTTGCATTCAAAGCGCATTCCCTCGTTCTCCGTTCGCTATGCATGCCTCCAGTGACTTGAAATCGGAATGACTTCCAGCAGGTGGAAAAGACTGCTTTGAACAGATCAGAAGGACTGTGATTCAGATCCTTGAGTCTCTGTCCTCAGTTGGCTCCTGAATGTTGGCGAAAACTGACTTTGGGTGGTGGGGGAAGGAAAAATGCAGACCCACTGGCTGCCTTTCATGACATCTTTTCCCTGCCGGACCACCTTGTGAGAATTTAAAGGGCCATCCTAGGTGACGGAGCCCCAACCCCACTTACCAAGAGGACAAGGCATGGGGTCCGCCCTCTTCCCTAAGAAAACTCCAAAGGGAAGAACAGAGGGCTCAGGCTGTGGCCTGTGCTTCAGCTTTGACAAACTAAAGTTAGGAATTCTCAAATTCCAGCTGAACCCCAATCACTTCTGGTATACAATACAAATGCAGATTCTGGACCCCTTCAAATTAGCTTCTGCTTAAAAGGGATGGGATCCAGGAACCTGCTCTAAGCGAGCACCCAGGCGATTCTGACGCAGGCAAGCCACAGACCTGCTTTAGAGAACAACTGGCTTGGTAAGTGGATGGAAATGGAGAATATCATGCCAAGTGAAATTAGCCAAACCCAGAAGCTCAAAAGGTCAGATGTTTTCTCTCATATGCAGAAGCTAGAGTGAAATAAAAGAAAGGGGGCGGGGGGAGAATAGGATAACATAAGAAACCATCAAATGCAAATTAATAGATGAATGAAAGGAAGTTAGTAGAGGAAGGAAATGGGGAGGGGGAGGGAGGACAAGAGGGAAAAGAGGGGATCATGAACCATTCAATATCCATGCATGTATGAGTTTGTCTGGATGAACCCAATGATCATAAAGCTCTAATAAAAAAGAGAGAGAGAAAAGAAAACAACCGGCTCAATTCAAGTCTAGATCTACACATGAATTTAGATGGATCTGAAAAAACTGGAGATTTTTAATGAAGCATCTCATAGAACAGATTCTCCTTTGACATTTCACCAATGTATTCCTTTCACAAGATGGAAATGAATGGTCAGAACTCTCAGGGGGATGGAGACCGAGCAGGAAGGATAGGGGCTAATTTAAAGTTTGGATGCTTTTCAAGGTTAAGGGCTATTCTGGAGTCGGGGACTAGGAGATGTGAACAAAGCAATGGCAGCCTCATGTTCTCACAGTGAATTCCTCCATGATTAACTAAAATTACTTTTGAACTCAGAAATCAGGATTTGGCATTCTGTGAGTTAGATGACAACATATGTAGTAGTTTCCCCTCATCCATGGTTTCAGTTACCATGGTCAACTGTGGTCCAAAAATATAGTAGAGTACAATGAGATATTTTGAGAGAGACCACATTCGTATAAATTGTGTTACAGTTGGTTTGTACAATTTCCTTATTTTGTTATTACTATTATTCTCTTACTGTGTCAAATTGATAATTTGAACTTTATCACAGATATGGAGATATAGGGGAAATGTATATATAGTGTGTACATATATATATATATAGGGTTTGGTACTATGGGGCAGGTTCATGTCTCTACTGGGGATCTTGGAATGTATCCCCCACAGATGAGGGGTGAATACTGTGATTTGGTGTAAGGCAGCAACTCTTCAATATCCTTTTCCATCAAAGCAAGTTTTTACCTGCTGAAAAGCTGAGGTGTCAGCATTCCTACTCCCCAAAATCCTAGTGGGGTAGCCAAGGCTATAGTTATTTTTCCCCAAACCTCCTTGGAATTTAAATTATCTCAGAACCTAAAATAGCGCCCAGTGTAGGCAGTCTTCTCCCACCAGCTGACGGCGCTCCAAGTTCCCTCTGAGTCACCGCTGTTCATTCCAGGATGAGAAGAAACTGACTGCAGATGGGTGGCATTTTATATTGACTGCTATCCAAAAAGAAAAAGAAAAAAACCTAAAAAGAAAAGATCTCAGACGAAGATTTTCTCCTGACTCAAAGATCTCATTTCAAATCTAGAAAGAAGGCAATAGGGCATTCTAAGTTCTACTTGGCAGAGATCTGTTCAAAGCAAGGCTCCACCACTGCTGCAGACTGTACCGGTCCCCTTGTCGGGTGGTTGGTGCACCACTTTGGTACCTGTGAAAACTAGCTGCACTTCTAGGATCCTTGAATTTCCTGTTCCTAGACCTCAATCGTAATTTCTGACCACTTTTCTGACTCCAGTGTACCCTCCAAAAATCCCTAGTTATTTCTCACCCTGGTTGTTCTCCTGCTAAAGTTCAGGTGGGCAATGGCAAGGGTCAAGGTCAAGGTCAAGGTCAGGACAGTCAAGGATAAGGTCAGCAGATGCAGATGAGCTGGTCCTAGGGGCGGGCGGCAGGGAAGGATGGTTAGTAATTTAAGAAGTCGATCCCCACTTTGACACTCTTTGAGGTGGCTATGTCGATGGCTGTGGCCTTGATCTCGGTGTCCCCGAACTGCATGAGGGTCTGGATTTCCCTCCTGGCAGGCACTGCTGTGCCGCTAGTCCCCGTGAGATCCAGGCGGAGCGTGCCACACTTCTTCACCCCTGGGTCAGTGATGAAGCTGACGGTGTCATGCTCAGAGCTGTAGATGTTGATGACAATGACCAGCTGAGAGGGCTTGGCCGGGGTATAGCTACGTTTGACCAGCTCTCCCAGGGCCACCGACTGGTCAGCAGAGATGAACTTGTCAAACACGTCGGTGCACCAGCGAGTGCCGTCCTTCACCAGCAGCTTCTCGGGTGGGTGCTTACCCTCCACGTAGCGGTTCAGCACGCCCACCCCGTAGGTGAGTGGGGACCTGCGTACCTTGATGACCGCAGGGTCCAGGCCGAAGAGGACGGCGCCCTTGAGGATGGTGAGGCCCACGTCCTGGGGGATGATGATCCGGCACTTGTCACCAAAGGCAGCATGCACTGCCTGCTGCAGGAGGGGCGCCTCGGCAAAGCCACCCACCAGGAAGAGGAACTTGACCGTGCAAACCTCCGGCTTCTGAAACAGGTCCCCTGAAAGGGAAGAAGATGGAGGAAGGTCACACCAGCAAAAGCCAGCAAGCAAGGGAGAAGCAGGCTGCTCGTCTCTGGGAAGAGACGAAACCACCTGGGCCCCAGGGAGCCTGGCTTGGTCTGAGCCATTGAGTTCTTATCAAGTTGGTCTTTCTTAGAAAAGGAGTTTTCACACCAGTGTGCTCAGCTGTAAAGGCCAGAGCAGCTGCTGAGTAGAAGCCCATTTGAACAGAGAGGTGGTGAACATTTTAAGTGGAACTTTCTATGGAGAAAGGAATCTCTCCAAAACGGATCACTGCCACGGTGGAGTAGGCCAGGGCCAGCTGTTAGAGCCAGGATTCTCTGACTTGCATAAAAATCTCATCCCATCTTTAGAGGTTCAGACTTGGAAGGTCGTGGGGGTAGGAAGAAGATGGGAGGTTTGGATCCTGGAAAAGGTCCCCAGTGAGTCAATGAGTGTCCCTGGGTGAAAGCCACCAACTCTGCAGGTTGACAGCACGGCCAGGTTCTGGTGGCCCTCTTGGTTCTCACTACAGTTCCTTCTCCCCTAGTAGGTAGGATTCCTAATCTGTCCTGGTCACACAAACAGGATGCGCTCCCTGGAGTGGCTGTTGGATGACAGGGCTTCAGAGCTCCCAGCTCTCTGACCTCTGGGACCAAACTGAAAGCCCAGGACAGGTTCTCAGCTACTTTGCAGTAGGAGAGGGATCCACAGCCTGTGTCCAGTAACCTCCCCCAGTTCTGTGGCTCCCAGACCCAGATCCCCTGCCAACCCGACTGCATGGTACTGGTTGGTGATGCTGGACAAGCCCCATGGATACTTACGGAGGTGCTCAATGATGCTGTCTATGGTTGGCTTAAAAAGGGCATTCATGGCATCTGGACTCATCCTCAGCATACCCTGGGAGGACCACTTCACAAAATCCACGCTGTGGGAAGGTGACACAGATGGGAACAAGAGTGAGTGCCTGCAGGTGCCAGGGCTGCTCTGCTCTGGCACGTGCCCTGGCAGAACACTGGTCACATCATGGGGCAGAAATGAGTTTCAAAGTCAAAAGCACCCTTGGAAACCCCCTCAACTTTCAGGGCCCGGACCATCAGAACCTCAAGAACTGACATAACCTCTTATATTTCTCTTTGCTTCCAACCTTCCCCTGAGATGATGGAGGCCAAAGTCTAGTGCAAGAAGGAAGGAGGTGCTTGCCCTCTGGATGACAGCATGCTAAGGGCCCACGAGATGCCTTCACTGTGCTACATAAGCTACAAGTGTGTGTGCTGAGGCGTATCTCCTCAGCCCTCCAGGTAGCTGTCCCATGGCATGGACGTACAACACGTCCAGAAGCAGAAGTGTGGAACAGCAGGAGCTCTGGGGGGGGGGGGAAGCCAGGTGGCTGGGCTCCAGGCTGGCTCCACGGCTTAGTAGCTATGGGACTTCAGGCACTTTGGCCTCTGTTTTCTCTGAGCCTGGTCTTCTCTGGAAGTCAAGGATAATGGCACTTGCCTCACCCCCTCACAAGGCAGGTTATGAAAATCAAGGTTTCTTCTCTCCTGTTCAGACTGGGCAACCAAACTACAAAGGGCAGAACTTTGTCCCTGTTGGAGTATTCCAGCTACACTAACTAAAGAGTTGACAATTCAAATGATAACCCAGTGGTCACCCAGTGAATCAACAGACCCAGGTAATGCTCATCAGTCCCCTGATAGGATGCAATAGGAAATACCACCACCACTAAGTAGATTTGCCAGAAATCCAAACTTGAATCCAATTAAACCACTAAGTCTATCTGTAAGCAAAAACATACCAGGGGCAGAATGAAAAGCTCTGGGACACCAAGTGCATGCAGTGAGCAAAACCCAGATTGTAGGAAACTCTCAAGCACAATCAACCAGTTTTGTCATCTGATAAAAAAAGGGGGGGGGGGCCCATACACCAGGTGAGACTTGAGAGGTTCATTAGGATGCTGATGCAAATTGGAAAACCTTTAGGAGACAGTTGGAAAAACTGTTGATGATAACTGGATATTTGATATCGAAGAATTATTAACTTTAGGTGTGATGATGTCATGGTTACAATTCAAAATTTATCTCCTTTAGAACCATATGTTGACATATTTATGGATTTGATGACAACCTATCTGAGATTTGCTTTAAAATAACAGGGAGAGGGTCGTGAGATGTAGACTGAGTGGGAGCCAACAATCCTGAAGCTGGGTGATGGAGTTTCATTTTCCATTATGGGAAGGTATCTATGGGAGGTTGTTAGGGTCTGTAAACAAGTCAGGATGGCGCCTGGCATTTTTGCCAGAGGGTTTGTGAGGTGGCACCAGCAAGCCATTAAGTGTGGAGATTCCTTATTGGTTGACTGCTGTATCTAGTTTATGTTAATTAAGATAAGCTGTGAGGAATGTATATATACCCCTCCTGTCCTACAATAAACGGCTCCCACTCCTGCTGTATCAATCTACACAAGTTGCTCGTCACCCCCCGGCTATTTTGCTGTAGCCGGGCTGCGGCAGATGGTGGCCCGTACGGGGAGCCCTGGGACACTCGGGGGTAAGTGACGAAAAAAAAAAGCTGCCCGTCCCTAGATAGGACGGGAGCAAATCTGCTCGTCCCTAGACAGATAGGGCAAGAGGAAAAATGGCCATTTTGATAAAATGGAGAAGATTGATACAGTATGTTTGTGTCTTGTTTTGTCTTGAAATGTTGTATTGTCTTTGTGACGAAAATATGGAAGGGGTGAGAAGTAAATTACTAAGGGAAGAAGGCACCCCAATGGAACCAAGAGCAATTAGGGCATGTGTTGATAAAAGCCCAGGAACTCTAGTCAGAAAGAAAAAGAAAGTTCAGAAGAAGAAGGATTATCAGGAAAAAAGTTGCAGCAAAAGGCTATTACT